CAACACAAATAACAAGCCATTTCTCCCCACCATCAAGCCCCCCTCCTCTGCTCTACTGCCCACCCCCGCACTGCTAACCTGGCCAACCTCATACCTCTCCAGCCTGCCACCACCCCTCCAACCCCCCACTTGACCAATTTTGCCCTCCTCACTCAACAATAAAGCCCACATCCTTCACAAATTAATTCTGGAGAAATCCATCGACTTCCTTCTGCTCACTGAAACCTGGCAACAACCCATTGACTTCTTCTCCCTCAATCAAACATCCCCCCTGGTTTTATTTCACCTTTCTTTATTGATTTTCACTTATATCAAAAGAGAACAGGGCACATGAAAATGCAGATGTGTAATCATACAATTGAATTGAATNACAGTATTTATTATCATTATAGTATTACTATTTTGGCGATTAGATCAAATACAAATTATATTTGATGCAACTTTAGTTAAATTTCCATGACTTTTTCAAAACCTTGGGAAAAATATTGTTTTCCATAACTTTTCCAGGGCCTGGAATTTGCATTTTGAATTTCCATGACTTTTCCAGGTTTTTAATGACCGTAAGAACCCTGGATATTAGAACCAAATTATAGTCGATCCTTGTCATTTTTTGTTGCTGTAATTTTAATAATGTAAAGGCATGATATAGGCAGATATACACAACCTAGATGTGCAATGAACATTGTTTTCTCACTATTTAAGATCAATGCAGAGGGGAAACAAGCTAATAGAACACATTTTGGATGAATATATAATGTTTAGATGTCATGGTTTGACTAAATGGGCATGTCAAGTTATATTGTTACCCATGTGGTAGGTCAAAACCCAAATATACAATTTTAAGGACGTAATAGTGGTCTATTAAATAAGAGAAAGTCCCTTACCTGGAGATGAGGGAAGTCAGCAGCTTGAAACGTCATGTTGCTGATCCCATTTAATGACACATTGAGTTGCTTTAAAGAAACAAAACTGCTGAAAGACCCTGTAAAAACACATTGTCTTAAAGAAACAAGTTTACAAGAGGCACAACGTCTTATTGAAGGAAAGTCTGCATGATGTATACAATAATCACCTAAAGAAAGGGAGTTAATAGATGCATCAATGTGAACTACATTGTCAAACACCTTGAGCTCTTCTGGCTTGACCTGTGCACATGAAGAAACAAATATTAAAAGAGTTTTACCCACTGAGTTTCAAACAGTTAAAATGTGTGAAAAGTCATTCTTACAGAGTTCAGTTTCTGCTCACTGATGTCAACGGAGCACAGCTCAGACGGATTATCAACACAATGTAACTGGAGCTACAAAAGAACATTGTGATTGTTTGTGGTCACCGAAAGAAAAAAAACGATCTTGCTACAATTTTGTCAAATAAGCACATCTATAATATGTTTCAGAGCCTTACCAGTAAAATCCCATCTAATGTGTTATGAGGGGTCTCAGCCCCCCTGCTGTTCCCACATTCTTCATGAGTCTCTTTTATTCTTCTACGCACATTCCTGTGGTTCTGCTCGTCTGTCGTTCTGTGATATTCAAGCAAATGTCCAGCCGCTACAGGAAAGTTGAATTGAAATATAATCAGCAGACATTACATGCAGATTTACAAATGTATAATTAATAACCATAGTGGTCAGAGGGGGAAGAAAAAGGCTATTCAGATCCTTTATTTCCCTCAAAGTACACACTGTGAAAAGGCTCCTTTAAAGTCAAAATCCTGCCTCATCAGTAGTTTGCTATTATTACTTTTTTGGATATATATTGTTACTGCATCAAATGTGTTTGCTGCATTTTAATGTTGTGATGATGTGCTATTTTTTAACTCCCGGGTGTAGCCTACTACTTGGTAGTTTAATCCTCAGCAAAACATCATATTCTATAAAATAATATAATATTGTAGTAGTAGTGTTTTTAGTTTTGCTTTTCTGTAAAAAAAACAACCATGTTTCTCTGAAAATAACTTTTAATGAGCTCAGAACAATAGCCCTGTTTTCATCTTTGTGACTGCGTTTATACTTCTATTCAAAGAGGCGTTTTGAATAGTGTATTTAGCTTAAGAAGTATAGGATACTTTTATTCATCCAGAAATGAACACTTTTTAGTTTATGACAAACAATCCCAATAATTTTTTTTTGAAATTTAACTGGACAGCAAAGGGTGTGTAAATCTGTAGTATGGGAGCCTTCATGTATATTGTAAGTAACTTGTATCGTTTTTAACATACCTTCTTTCCTCCGGCTGAGCAATGTCCGGGGCGGGAAACATTTGGTGAGATTCTTTTCTCCATTATCACATTTATAGGACGCTTCAGTCATCTTGTTTGCTTGTGATATCCATTTATCAGCAAACAACTTAGCACGTAAGTGTTAATGAGGCTATTCGCGAGGTAATTTAGAAATACTTCAAAATATTTTGGTCTGGAGCTACACTGTAGTCCTCTGTATCCTAGCAACAGCATGTAAGACGAGAGCCGTCCTCCCGTCCGGCAGGAGGCGGTAAAGAGAAAACATGTCGAGACTATCTAGTCAAAGATTGACTTCACTGGTAAGATAGAGGTCTGCCCCATGGATGTATAATAAGAACGGTCTGCCCATGCAGGCGAAGGTACTTTAAAACATTGCACATATAGTGTTATGAATACGCCATCGTTTTTCATGCACAACACGCCGTGTACGACTTACAAAGACGGATAAACGATCGACCCCTATTCATTTTACACAGTTTAGCGAGCTTGCGTCTAAACGGAATTGACAACACTGCGCATGCGTGAGTCCGTGTTTCTGATAACTCCTGTCTTCCAATACTAAGTAGCCACTTTATATCTCATTTAGGTTATGTGAAAGCACGGGTAAGCGAGGAATGCTTGAATTAAAACTGAAACTACAGTTCTAGCTTACGTATGTATTGTTAAACAAGACGTCTGAGCGAACCCGGAAGTAACAGAGAGTGTATGTTTCGCTTCAGAGCCGTCTTCTTTTCAGATGGACCCATAGCATCAGTGTCGTGAAAATTAGAGGTCTCTCTTATGGCGTGATATTAGACGGTATAATGCCGTTAACGAAAAGATCAAGGGTGTCAAATGTGAAGAGGGACAAGTGAAGGTGAGCATTTTATTCTGCATGCACACTATACGTTATGTGCAATTTGTCACAACGCTGTCATATGTGTCTATGAGGAGCTGTTGGACTGTGAACTCTTTCTGTCTCAACATTGTTATACCAAACCAGCACTTTTCATATATTTGGCACATGTTAAATTCGCAGGAAATCTGATCCACCATGGGAAATACACCATCAAAGAGTCGCAGTGGAGATGAACCAGTCAAAACAACTTTGTTTGAAAAGGAGCCAAGTGGGATAACATACAGAATCCCTGCTCTCATTTATCTGAGGCACATTCACACCTTCCTCGCCTTTGCAGAGAAAAGATCCTCACCCTGTGACCATGATGCCAAAATCCTTGTTATGAGAAGAGGAATGTTGAAGGATGATGGATCTGTTCAGGTTATTATTCACTTGCATAAACCAGCATATTAACCTTTGCTTAAATACTGATACCTGGTAACGTGATCTATGCTCATCTTTTCTAACTCTTGTCTTGTAATGTTTTTCAGTGGTCGTCCAGTCAGGAGCTATCAACAGCATGCCTCCCAAACCACCGCACTATGAACCCCTGCCCTGTATACGAAAAAAACAGCAAAACACTGTTTTTATTTTTCATCTGTATCTTGGGAAACACCACAGAGATGAGGCAGATTATCACAGGTAAGAACAAGACGCGCCTCTGCTGTGTCAGCAGCAGCGATGACGGGCAAACCTGGAGTCAAGCGAGAGACTTAACACAAAGTGTGATTGGTGAAAC